AATTTCAGTAAAGCTTAAAGGTTGAGACCGAGTCTGCTCTTCACGGGGGTAGGCAACTGTTCCATAAAAATGGAATCTATAGGAAAAGCCCGCCCCCCTTTTGCTTAAAAATTCTGGGGACAATTGGGAGGCCTGCGTCTTGTGACGTAGCTCTATGGTATGTCGGCAGGACCAACTCGGAAAGATAGGTGGGAGAACCCCAGTAACGCTTTATGGGTTAAAAAGTAAAACCTTTGAAATCAGCCCTTCCCTTTAACAGGAACCAGTTAGGGAAGAGCACGGGTAATAGATCAAATTTTTTGGGTTCTAGTCAGGATTTAGCACCTTTTTACCCTTGAATTTTTTAGTGCTTTATCCGGGGTAGGGGAAATAAGGCATTGCAGTAGTCAACCCTAGAAGTAACAAATGCATGGTTTAATTTTTCTCATCATTTTTGGACAAAAATTTCTGATTTTTGAAATGTTACGTAATGGAAAAAAACTGTCCGAAACATCTTTAAGTTTCGTCAAAAGAGAGATCAGGGGCAAGATTAAAAGCCGAGGTCCTTCCAGTTTATTTGAGACGACTTTACAAAAACCCCAAGATGAAAAGTCAGATTTAAAAAGAAGATCCCTTTTTTTCTTTGGGCCTAAAAGCATCTCTGTTTTGTCCGAGTTTTAAAAAAGAAAGTTTTTAGCCCTCCCTTCCTTAGTCGAAAAAACGGGTTTTAGCGAGGGCAATTTGGGGGTTCACCAGTTTTCATTGAATGTACAGCTGTGTGTCATCCCATAGCGTGAAAGTTACCCTTTTATGCGATTTTCGATTTCATTTCATTTATTGGGGGGGCCAGGGAAAAAAAACCCTTTTCCCTCAAGACATTGTGGATACAGGATTTTTGGACTCAAAAAGAAGGGACCGAGCACGCCCCCCCTTTCATCAACGGGGCTGTATGGAGCAGGTTTTAGACTTCAAATTTCCTTTGGGGTCCACACAAACCAAAAAATAACATGGTCCAAACACCCAAACAGTCAGAAGAGGGGCCCAAAAAAACCTATTCCCCCCAAGAGACTTTAAAAATTTTGGGTGGGGCCCCCAGATCCCCCAAAAGGTTGTACACTGCACCATCGAGAGCATCCCCCTTGGTTTCTCACTGCCTGGTATGGCAACGCTCGGCCCCACCCCAAGGCATTTCGGGGTGTGCGTGGCCCCGTACTCACTGGGGCCGCTTACCTGGTTAAGGTTAAAAGGTGAAATAAAAAATAAAAAATTAAAAAAAGTGTGTTACTGATGGTAGGCTTTGTTACTTTGGTCCCACTCTCTGCAGTCATTCACTAGGTCCCCCGTGTGGTTCTGGGATTTTTGCTCACCGTTCTTGTGATCATTTTGACCCCACGGGGTAGATCTTGCGTGGAGCCCCAGAACGAGTGAGATTATCAGTGGTCTTGTATGTCTTCCATTTCCTAATAATTGCTCCCACAGTTGATTTCTTCAAACCAAGCTGCTTACCTATTGCAGATTCAGTCTTCCCAGCCTGGTGCAGGTCTACAATTTTGTTTTCTGGTGTCCTTTGACAGCTCTTTGGTCTTGGCCATAGTGGAGTTTGGAGTGTGACTGTTTGAGGTTGTGGACAGGTGTCTTTTATACTGATAACAAGTTCAAACAGGTGCCATTAATACAGGTAACGAGTGGAGGACAGAGGAGCCTCTTAAAGAAGAAGTTACAGGTCTGTGAGAGCCAGAAATCTTGCTTGTTTGTAGGTGACCAAATACTTATTTTCCACCATAATTTGCAAATAAATTCATTAAAAATCCTACAATGTGATTTTTTGGATTTTTTTTTCTCAATTTGTCTGTCATAGTTGACGTGTACCTATGATGAAAATTACAGGCCTCTCTCATCTTTTTAAGTGGGAGAACTTGCACAATTGGTGGCTGACTAAATACTTTTTTTCCCCACTGTAAGAACACTTATTTCACTCCACACATCAACCACTGTTTGAGGAGCATGCCGCTTGAATGAACCAACAGATCTCCTAGGCCTATACGTTCTCTCCCAGACTCATGGATAGAACGTTTGGAGCGTAGTATAAGGTAACCAGTCCATCCAGTATGCATAATAATACAGTCCACACTCAAAGGCGATTACTAAAATGTGTTTAATTTTGGAGTATAGGCTAGACCAATTAAATTACCAAAGACATCTTAAATCAGTTTTTTAAATGTTTTTCTGCCGTGCGTAATATGCGGTTGGCTATGTGTTGTATAAGGGCACAATCATTATTTTAATTCAGGAGTTTTTTTCGGGCTTGGGCTTATATAGGCCTATGTGTATGCATACTCTCTAATATGCGTATGTCTGTTTTTTATTAATCATCACCTTAGAAATGGGCTGTCTTTCGTTGTGTTAGGCTTAGAATTTTTTTCAAATTGATTGATCACAGTGAGGTGAGTTTAAAAGCACAATACTGTTTTGATAATAAGTGTTTGATGCGATTTTCGATTTCATTTGCATTGATGTGTGGTGCCAGGAAAACAACCTCTCCCTCAAGACATTGTGGACTACAGGATTGTGGACTACAGGAAAAAGAAGAGGACCGAGCATGCCCCCATTCTCATCAACGGGGCTGTAGTGGAGCAGGTTGAGAGCTTCAAGTTCCTTGGTGTCCACATCACCAACAAACTAACATGGTCCAAGCACACCAAGACAGTCGTGAAGAGGGCACGACAAAACCTATTCCCCCTAAGGAGACTGAAAAGATTTGGCATGGGTCCTCAGATCCTCAAAAGGTTGTACAGCTGCACCATCGAGAGCATCCTGACTGGTTGCATCACTGCCTGGTATGGCAACTGCTCGGCCTCCGACCGCAAGGCACTACAGAGGGTAGTGCGTACGGCCCAGTACATCACTGGGGCCAAGCTTCCTGCCATCCAGGACTTCTATACCAGGCGGTGTCAGAGGAAGGCCCTAAAAATTGTCAAAGACTCCAGCCACCCCAGTCATAGACTGTTCTCTCTGCTACCGCACGGTAAGCGGTACCGGAGCGCCAAGTCTAGGTCCAAGAGGCTTCTAAACAGCTTCTACCCCCAAGCCATAAGACTCCTGAACATCTAATCAAATGGCTACCCAGACTATTTTTTTTGGTATTCTTTCTTAAAACTGCATTGTTGGTTAAGGGCTTGTAAGCAAGCATTTCACTGTAAGGTCTACACCTGTTGTATTCGCCGCATGTGACAAATACAATTTGATTTGATGTCAGAGAGGTTAGAGGGACAATAGAGCCCTGAGTATCAGGCCATTAGCATCCTGATGGTCGTTAGCGAGTTGGGTATAAGAAGAGATTACGTGACTCAGCAGTTAAGTGGAATTTTACTGTGGCGGTAAAATGATCACTGCAACAGCCCCAGTTAAAACGACGTAATAATTACACGCTGAGCGTTCGATAAAAAAACATATTCATTTGACCAGCGATGTTGCTGATTCTACAGGATTAGCATTGAAAACGTGACCAGCGGTCTGGAAAACAAGTAATAAAGTGGCTGTAGATCATTTGAAAAACTTTTAAATGAATATAGTGACAGTAAAACAGTTGTGTTTGCTGGGTAGTTAACGTTAGCTGAAATTCACTATGATTGCGCTGATTTTCCACTTTGATGGCAAACTTTCTGTACTGCTACCATTCACTCCCAGTAATTTTTGCTCCAACGCTAGTCCAATGAATTTGTTTATTTTCTAACTCTTCTGCATGGATAACCTTTGTTATCATCAACCTAGGACCCAACCAGGACGTGTGTAATTACTGGATCCTCCAACAACAATAAGTGTTTTTATGATTAGCCCCAGCAGTGTTTCCTATAATGTGGACGCACAACGTCCAGGGAAGGGCATGAAAGTGTGTGTGAGCCTCCTAATCAGATAGCTGCACTGTAATCAGGAAGAGATCTTAATGTCTGATGTAATGACCTATGTGAAATGCCAACGCTTGCTCTGTTCCATCAGATTGCATTCTGATCCCATTGCACCAGGTCCTGAAACAAGGGCAGGCTGCAGAAGAATACAGACATTTTAATGATCACACAGTAATGATCTCGTCTTTCAGCTGACAGACTTTTGCCCCTATAGACTAAAGTCATTAAAAGTTCGATTAGGTTTTTATTATCATCGTCTTGTATGGAGAGGGGTAGGTACTAGGTAGTTGTTAAAGGGCAATTTCACGGTAATGGAATTGCGCTTTGACTTTAAAATGTATGCCAAACAAAAACCATTGATTTCAAAGTTTAACAAACCATACAACTCTATGCACAAGGACTACTTTGAACAATTTACACAGAACATTTCAGAAAAACACATTTACAGGAAGACCTGTGCAGATGCAAAGTTTGGTAAAATCTCCTTCAGTTTTTTATGCAACAACGTTTCCCAAAAACTCACTTAAATACAGTATTGGCTCCAAATTAAAATTGAAAGATGACTGCAGAAAGAATGGGGTGTCAGCTATGACATGACACCTTGAGTTTGACATTTTTTTTGGTTATTGAACTACAGTAGGTGAAGTTGATTTACATCCAGTAATGGAATTACGGTAACGGAATTACATAATGGGTCCCTGATCTGTACTATACAGAAATGCATAATTATGGACATGAATATCATTCTCTTCATGGTGATATATCCTGAATAGGTACACAAAGGTAAGAATATCCAATAACCTTTGCATATGTGGGTATATATATTCTACACACTAGCTATTATACTAATGAGCTCTGCCCCCAAACAAGACCATATTTGGTTAGTCCGGACCAGATCAAATGTGAACCAATCATAAGTGTCTATGTTTCACAAGTTTGGACATCACAGTAGAGTATAGTACAGTACTGTACTCTGCTCTAGTGCGCTCTGTACTGAACTCTACTGTACTGTTCTCTACTGTACTGTTCTGTCCAAACTTGTGAAACATAGATGTCTATGATTGGTTCAGATTTGGTCCGGCCAGGGCGGACTGACCAAATTTCAACTACTTTTCGATGTCCATGGACGTCCGTTGTCGGTCAGTGCTCAGTGGGTGAGAATGCTTGTTACAGTAAATGGAAAGAGGGTAGGTGTTAGGTGTCAGTAAGAGCCGGGAGAGGTGACATTAACTGGAGAGAGAGAGAGAGGGGGTGGCAGGTAGCCTAGCGGTTAAGAGCGTTGGGCCAACCGAAAAGTTACTGGCCCACAAATGTCATACCCCCACAAAAATGCTAACCTCCCCTGTAATTGTAATGGTGAGAGGTTAGCATGTCTTGGGTGTATGATATTTGTGCAACTGAACTTTCTCACTCATCATTATTCATGATTCATTCAGGACTATCCATAATAATGGTAGGATCCACATTAATGTAGAAGTGTTTAGAAATATTATATTCTTATTTACAATAAAAGTGACTCCAAAATGACACAATACATTATTTACCATTAATTTCTGTTGGGCACTAAATAATCTGAAACACAACCAAAACAAACAGCAAATACATCCAACAAGTTTGTAGAGTCACAAGCTTGATGTAATCATTGCTTGCTAGGAATATGGAACCAAATACTAAACTTTTGACTACTTTAATACACATAAGTGAATTTGTCCAAATACTTTTGGTCCCGTAAAATGTGGGGACTCTGTACAAAAAATTTCTAAACGGTTCACCCGATATGGTTGAAAATACCCTCAAATTAAAGCTGACAGTTTTCACATTGTATCATTTCAAATCCAAAGTGCTGGAGTACAGAGACAAAACAACAAAACATTTGTCACTGTCCCAAAACTTTTGGAGCTCACTGTATGTGGGTTTTTGGTGACGGAATTACAAGGCACAATGTTATGTTTTTTAAACTTATAGAAGGCAAATAATTTCTCCAAAACTAAATATAAGTGTTGATATTAGTTGGCTGGGGTCTTTACTTTGTGATGGAGTGAGAGGGTGGGTGTGTGAAGGCCGGTATATTCCTGCTTGTTGGCTACATCTGCTGGCCAGGAGAGAGGGTGACCCGGAAGGGTAAGATCCTAATTACACACACCTGAATATAATTAGCTTGGAGGTTGGGTGGTGGCTGTTTTAACCTGGCTTTGGCCAGATCTGTTTTGGTCTAGAGCAGCAAGAGCTGACATGCAGAGCCCTCCAACGTTGGGAGGGATATCGAACCCAACGGGACAGGAACCTACCGAATGTAACTTGGCTGTAGACCTGACCCCAGTAAGGACAAGCTTGTTGGATTTCTGTTTTCTTTTGTTGGATATGCTGGTAAACAGCTTAGATGTCCGGTAGCAGAGAAGGACCGGAAGACCCATGTAGAAAGGCTCAAAGATGAGCTAGGGTTTGGTTTTATTGCTACCCAGCGCTGTGGCACATTGTTTCTTTCTCTGGAGAAAGGTCCATTTTGGTCTACGCTTGTGTTACTTCACACTCTCGTCACTTGTTGGCCAGCCTGCCCCCCACCTAATTTCTGGGATGGAAAATAGTTGAATAATTAATAGATGCCTTAATTTTCAAAAAAATATAGATTCTTAACTTTCATTTGACACCCAATTTGACATGCTCATACAAAACATATACTGTGCACACAGAACAAAAATATAAACGCAACATGTGAAGTGCTGGTCCTATGTTTCATGAGCTGAAATAAAATACCCCAGAAATGTTCCATACTCACGAAAAGCTTATTTCTCTCAAATTTTGTGCACAAATTGGTTTACATCCATGTTAGTGAGCATTTTATTCTTTACAATCCATCCACCTGACAGGTGTGGAATATCAAGAAGCTAATTAAACAGCATGATAATTACACAGGTGCACCTTGTGCTGGGGACAATAAAAGGCCACTCTAAAATGTGCAGTTTTGGCACACAACACAATACCACAGATGTCTCAAGTTTTGAGGGAGCGTGCAATTAGCATGCTGACTGTAGGAATGTCCACCAGAGCTGTTGCCAGAGAATTGAATGTTAATCCATAAGCCATGCTTTTGAGTATTTCTGTCTGTAATAAAGTCCTATTGTGGGGGAACACTCATTCTGATTGGCTGGGCCTGGCTCCCCAGTGAGTGGGCCAGGCTACCAGGCCCACCCATGGCTGCGCCCCTGCCCAGTCATGTCAAATCCATAGCTTAAAGCCTAATTTATTTATTTAAATTGACTGATTTCCTTATATGAACTGTAACTCAGCAAAATCTTTCTAACTATTTCATGTTGCGTTTATATTTTTATTCAGTATACATTCCATAAAAAAACACACAACTTAGGAATGTTCAGAAAATGTTCCAAGAATGTTATTTAAAAACATATATACTGTACATTCCATTCTCAACGCCAACAGAACTCTCTCTATCCTCTATCTTGTTAAGTGTGTTCAGGTGTGTTGGCCGCACCCACTAATTGGCCACATATGATCTTAATGAGTGCTTGTTTCCTTTGAAATGGGGTCTGTTTGAATAGACTATAATGAACCGTTTTGTATGCGGAAAAAAACATGGCATGTTAGCTCCATCCTGGTGGCGCATTCCTAATTCCATGGATAGAGAACAGAAGATCATAGGTTCAAATCTCACTGATGCCGTGTCACAATAAATAAAAAACTGTTTGCATCATCAGTGCCTAAGCAAATTAATTTCCATGTGTCTTACTGTATCTTACTATATCTGTGCTATACAAGTTAACCCCAAATAAGCTAGCAGTGTTATTAAAAGTCTTATTGAAACATTCAATAAGGCAGAATTTTCACTTATTTTCTCAGAATGTTTAACAAACGTTCTGTTTTACCACTCAGGAAACATATGGCTTTGTTCCCACAACCAATGTGAAACCAAAACATACTTCCAAGGAACCAAATGTGCTAGCTGGGGACCTTGTGCTAGCTGGGGACCTGGTTAAAGACAAATTGGACACAAGGTCTTGGTAGAGAATGTATTCATGGTCTTTTTCCCTTCCTTTCTCTCCAGTGGGGAGCGTTTGCCTGCGATTGCTTATTATAGGACCTTCAGCAGCATTGGCCCTCCATGTGTTTTTCGTCTATTCGTTGGTGTGCTGCTGTGTATTTTTTAGCAGTCGTTCTGGGAGGTATTGTTTTTGAAGAGCCCTGCACTGTTCAGGGTGGTTGAGATGAGAGGAGTGTTTTTGGTCATGAATTCTAACTACTCTCTTCTGTCTCTCTCTCCCTCTTTGTCTGTCTCTCTTTCACTTCTCTCTCTCTCTCTGTCTCTGTGTCTCTCTCTGTCTCTGTGTCTCTCTCTCTCATCTAGACATGGAACACGGTGTGCTGGGGAGGTTGCTGCGGCCGCCAACAACGATGTATGTGGGGTGGGCATGGCATACAACACCAAAATTGGAGGTGAGTGAGGCATGCTGGGATTGAAGGAGGCTCTGCCCATGGCAAACAATGATTGGTTCCGTAGAACATTACTTGCTACCCGCCACTTCTGAATATTTACCAACTTTTGTCTCTAATCTTTCGTCAAAGACAAGGACTCTAATCAGTCTAATGGGCTATTTCAAGCCATTGTCTGGCCTGAGCATTCTGTCAAAGACAAGTAGCCAGCCAACAAGACTCAGTGGAGCCCTGAGAGCAGTCCCCTCCACAGATGTTAGCCATAACTCTCCTACTCCTCCTAGTCTTCATTAGCATGCATCTCCTGCTCTAGCAGCTCATTGGCTCCTGCTCCACACATACATTATTCCTCTGACAATCTGCCCATGTCCCAGGGTTACACAATTGTTTATAAACAACACAGTTTGCTGTGTGCCTCATTCCCCATCGGGTGTGTGTGTGTCTCCACGCACACACAAACACACACACACACACACACTCACTCATCTCCCACGGCTCACAGCTTTTAGATAGCGTGTGTCTGCAGGCACTGGTTGTCTAGACTAGAGTGTGTATTTGAAGTCTTTATGTGGTTTATCATCAGTGTCAGTGATGCAGCAGATAACCTGGGGTTAGCTAGTCAGGTACAGTAGTAGGCTTATTTGACGATGGCTCATTTCATGCGTTCTGCTCCCATTACTGTTCAGAGCACTGTTCCGAGGCGGCCCACATCAAAGCTACAGACAGGCCCTGTTCCGGTACTATGATGAAAGATGGGCCGGTTTGTTTCTCTCAGGTCACAGACGCTTTTGGAGGCACCGTAAACTCTCCCGCACTCATTCGTCAGAAGGAATGTTGTGTTGTTTTTGCGTTGTTTGTGAGTTGTCTGTCTGTCTTACCGGGTTGTTTAATGAAGGAGAAGGTCTTGACTCTTGTTTTAATGGCCAAAGTGTGTGTGCGTGCGTGTGACTGTGTGCGTGACTGTGTGCGTGACTATGTGCGTGTGGGTCTGAGAGTACAATTGGTCATCACGTCTGACACTGTGACAGGCTCATAAGCCCTTTGTCTCCCCAGTCAGACTGTGTTTGTCAGTATGAAAGCCAGTCACACAAGGCTTTTTTTCCCAACTGCATCATGTTTATAACACCTAGGGAGTGAATGTTATTTACAATAAGGGTTACATGGAGAAAATCTGACCTCTCTGAAATGAAAATGGATGGCAAAATATATTTTTACCTAAACCCTCCCTGAACACTTGAAAACAAACAAGTGACACTCCCCTATACCCAAAATTAAAACAAAGTGGATAGCAGTTTACCCTCACTTCTTGGACAGACCAGAGCCTTAGATATGCAGTTTTAGAAACTGTTCTTCATCCTGTAAGCATTACATGGCAACGCAGGAATTTTGATAGCACACAGGGCTGCGGGCCAGAAGGTTCTGGGTTCGCAGACCACCATGGACAAGAGTCGGGGTGGAAAGATCTCCTATATAGTAAAAGCATTACATTCATCTATCATGGTATTTGCAGGTCTGAGAAAAAAATTGCCTTTTATAACCATTTCATGCAATTCTACGTAATTGTACATATTAGTGGAATCTTTTTTTAGTATCACACAAATTACCGAAATTACAGGCTAAGAATGGACAGTGAGATATCATAAGATGAACACATAGGCCTATTTCTCCAATGCCAAATCAGTGTGTCTTGTTTGCAACAAACTGTCCCTGTTTGCAAATAATTAAATATGAGACGTCATAAGGAATCTGAGCATGGTACTTTCAAAAGTTAGGCTTACCTTTCCACCCCTGACAGAGTAGGCCACATTTACGCTTTAACTGCTGGCCACTCTTCTTCCGTGGCTTAACCCAATGAGAGAAAGTCACAAGTGTTTCCCTAAAAGCTGTCTGGGTTTAAATGTCTTCTATTTTTACAGAAAGTGAATAGCTTAATCAATTGATAGTGACATAATTAGATTACTTCCCAAGCAAAGTCAGCCTCTGAATGTTATAGAAACTAAACAATGATATACCCATATGCATTGGAGTCACGTCTTTCCTGGGTATTTTACAGCTTGTTTCTAGCATAAAGCGTCGCGGACCAAAGCGCTGTTATAGATCACTTTATATCATCAGATTTGTTTAATTTTCTTCAAAATCTTAGCTAACAAGGGGTAGGCCTGTGCTTTTTGCCATTTTCTTTAATAAAAGGTAGGCCTATGGCATACCCTCTCATACCCCCTCAATTCGAGTCCTGGTTTTAACTTAACAGCCCTTCACTGACACGGAGGTAGGCTATTTAAAGAGTGCATGGTGGGTGGAGGAATTGGCCGAAAGATCAATGGATATAGCAGCCTATAGCCTAATTTCGTCTGTCAAACAGGTAGGTCTACCTCTTATTTCTTAAATAGGAAGAAATAGTCTCCATGACAAAGCCCTCTTGTTGTTAGTGAAGTCTAACAAAAATGAAGACGTTGAAATGAATTATGCCTACTCTAATTTGCCTACTTTCAGCACCATGAGCTGTCCATTTCCGATTGATTGTGCAGCGGCTGCTGCTTCAAGTTTCAGCACCACAATGTAAGTTACTCGAATCTGGCTTATTGCGAGGTCAATAACTGCGATAAATACATCATGTGCAAGAATTATATTGTTTTAAATAAAAATCTATGATATGGTCCCCCCTTTTCTGCTATAACAGCCTCCACTCTTCTGGGAAGGCTTTCCACTAGATGTTGGAACATTGCTGCGGGGACTTGCTTCCATTCAGCCACGAGCATTAGTGAGGTCGGGCACTGATGTTGGGCGATTAGGCCTGACTCACAGTCGGCGTTCCAATTCATCCCAAAGGTGTTCGATGGGGTTGAGGCCAGTCAAGTTTTTCCACAAACCATTTCTGTATGGACCTCACTTTGTGCATGAGACCTCACTTTGTGCACGGGGGCATTGTCATGCTGAAACAGGAAAGAGCCTTCCCCAAACTGTTGCCACAAAATTGGAAGCACAGAATTGTCTACAATGTCATTGTATGCTGTAGCGTTAAGATTTCCCTTCAATGGAACTAAGGGGCCTAGCACAAACCATGAAAAACAGCCCTAGACCATTATTCCCCCTCCACCAAACTTTACAGTTGGCACTATGCATTGGGGCAGGTATCGTTCTCCTGGCATCCGCCAAACCCAGATTTGTCCGTCGGACTGCCAGATGGTGAAGCGTGATTCAACACTCCAGAGAACGCGTTTCCACTGCTCCAGAGTCCAATGGCAGCGAGCTTTACACCTCTCCAGCCGACAATTGGCATTGCGCATGGTGATCTTAGGCTTGTGTGCGGCTGCTCGGCATGGAAACCCATTTCATGAAGCTCCCGACGAACAGTTATTGTGCTGACGTTGCTTCTAGAGGCAGTTTGGAACTCGGTAGTGAGTGTTGCAACCAAGGACAGACGATTTTTTACGCGCTATGTGCTTCAGCACTCAGTGGTCCTGTTCTGTGAGCTTGTGTGGCCTACCATTTTGCGGCTGAGCCATTGTTGCTCGTAGACGTTTCCACTTCACAATAACAGCACTTACAGTTGACCGGGGCAGCTCTAGCAGGGCCGAAATTTGACAAACTGACTTGTTGGAAAGGTGGCATCCTGTGACGGTGCCACATTGAAAGTCACTGAGCTCTTCAGTAAGGCCATTCTACTGCCAATGTTTGTCTATGGAGATTGCATGGCTGTGTGCTCGATTTTATACACCTGTCAGCAATGGGTGTGGCTGAAATGGCCAAATCCACTAATTTGAAGGGATGTCCACATACTTTTGTATATATAGTGTATCAAAGTTGGCCTCCGGTCCTCCTTCTCATCTTCGCGCTCTCCTTCTCAAACTGAACAGAACATAGCCTATAGGCAAGTCTGTGCTCAAGATTTTGGACTAGGCGTAATCAAACATCATTTTTGGAAGAAGCCTTTGACTCTCCTCCTGAACTGCCACCGTAGCCCTACACAGCACAGCCATTGGTTAAGCAGCACACAAAAACGTTTTTGATCAGCAAGAGCAGAGGAGGCCGGGGCTCAGGGTTGGAATATCCATTGCGGTGTGTAATGCAGCCTAGTTTTATTTACACCATCCCAGCAGCTATCTTAGAAATATAACTTTGCTCTGTGCTTCTCTGAGCATGCACTTCGTAGCCTATAGCCAATAGCCTATGGATCATTTGATTGAGACCACACTAAATAGCCTATAGGCTCACTTGATATTGTGCGCCCAGTGGAGAGTCAGAGATGAGGGGATCGATATATAGCCTAATAAACAACTAATTCTAAAACACTGAAAAATATTGAAATTTCATCCATTACAAATTACATGACCCTCTCCTGGACTAGATTTAGAAAATACTAAACCCTCCCCTTGACTGAAATTGAAAAATCATAACCCTCCCACATCGTAACCGTTCTGTACATTTTGATCCGTTCCCTACCACTTCTCCTCTCGTGCTGTCTCTGTCAACAATGTTCCTCTCATTCTGTTTCTCATCTGTCACCTTCTCTCTTTCTCCCTTTCTGTCTCACCCTGCCTGTATTATCTAGTTTATTTCACCTTTGATTTCACCCCCCCTCTCTCTCCATCTGTGTACTGACCTTGCCTGTGTGTGTGTGTGTGTTCAGGTGTGCGTATGCTGGACGGGGAGGTGACAGACATGGTGGAGGCACACTCCCTCAGCCTGAACTCACAGCACATCCACATCTACAGCGCCAGCTGGGGCCCAGAGGATGACGGGAAGACAGTAGACGGCCCCGCCAAGCTGGCCAAGGAGGCCTTCCTCCGAGGAGTCACTGAGGTCAGTCATTACTGGAGCACACATAGTTCCTGATACATACCTACCAGATGTTGTTTCAAAGACACACACATAGGAAGGATAGGATAGGATCAACTGTATTGTCCCAGAGGGGAAACTAGTCTTGGACACACAGTACTGCTGTATAAAATTCTACGTTATACACACATACTCACAAATTATCTTAGAAGATGAATGGGTTTTCCATGATGATATCCAGTATAAAGTGTTTCTAAAGTAAAACTATGAGAAGTGTTGCAACCGCCATACTTGATCTAGAGGGTGTTCTGGCCTGGAGCACCAGCAGGAATTACTGTCATGTCACACCAGAACTGTAACTATTCACCACTGTCTTATTTGGCTTAGCAGAGAGCACGCTGTAGACCTGACATGATAGTTACACCTGGTACTCGGCCAGAACACCCGATACAATACCCATGTCATACACATCTCATAGGACCACATACAATCCCCTCGCCAAGTTTCTTCCCCTGCCCTCCGAGTCCGAGCAGACCCATTGGGTTTGATGGAGTGAGCCCCAGATGGATTGGACAAATCATCTGAGGTTAACGAGACCATTCCCCATGTGTCAGCATGGGACATTAACAGAAACCCATTAATACAATGCTGGAATGACAAATGGGAGAGAATAAATGGGAGAGAAATTGCTGACGCAGAGTCAGATTTAGATATGAGGGGAATAGAGCAGGGGTTCTCAAAGTGGGGTCCACGGCCAGATCTCAAAATATATATAACAAATCTTGAATGAAAATTACAAAAAACAACAGATTAAACAAATTTTGGCCAAGGGATCCGTGGAATAAGTTTAGAGGGTGTGAAACAATACAATGTAATATTATTAATCTACAATTTATGTTCTTGGGCAACATGGGCAACATGGGCCTGGGATGCTCACAGGGATATTGGTATTCACGGTAGTCCACCGATTATACATTTTTCAACTCAATACATATTGTTTTCCCTTTTTTTTTAATGCACTGTAATTTAAGCTTTAAAACTGCGAAGTTTTCTTTCTACCTCATGGCAAAATATGTAGAATTGCAGGATATTTATTTTAAAGCTGCAACATCCAAAAATCTCTGCCCCATGACAAAATGTGTAGAATTGCAGGAAATTAGCTCGAAGAGGGCCTGAGACTTGGTTCGTCCGTCCATGCACTTGCCAATGTTATAGTAGAACTCCTTGTATGCTATTTTTATCTCACTCAAGTTGTGTTCTGATTATGAGGGGCTCCCTGATGAATTTGCTATCACAAAAAGGGTCCCCGGTCCCAAAAGGTTTGAGAACCCCTGGAATAGCAGATAGCCATCTTTGCAAAAATGGGGGAGAAGGAGTTTTAATGGAAGACATATGATTCATGTAACATAAATCTCATATCTAACACTCCCAGTATAATGGCAGGTTGACGTTTATTGTCATGAGTCTTAGATAGGCCAACTGCAAAGCCTAAAGGTGCTATATTGTAAGAATTAATGAAAGAAGTGTGCTTTTTGTTGCTAATTTAAGGTTAGGGTTAGACATTAGGGATAGCAGTGTGGTTAAGGTCAGGGTTAAGGTTAGGGTTAAGTTTAAAATCAGATTTTGACTTCGTGGCTGTGCCAGCTGGTGACCACTCTGCAGAGCTGCCTCCAGTACAATCTGCAGGATAATAGAGCGATGGAAAGAAAATAATTGCCTGCAGCAAAACAGGACATTATCAGTTTTACTGAAAAGATTCCCGGAAAGATTAGGAATACCTGTTGATTTGATCCATAAGAAAACAAGCAATGCATCAGTGGTGAGAATAAAATAGGGATTGTGAGGGCTGTCGGCCTTTTAAATGCCCATCCCAGCAGTGAGCTGGAAGACAGCAGGAGAGTCCCATGCTGGGACAAACCCTCCACAGGGGACAGGGATTAGGAAATAACATTCTCACAGCACTTCTTTAAATCCATAAAGACTGTGGGTGCGTTCCCTCAGCAGTGTTGTGTGTGTGTGCTTGTGTGAGATATGATTTGTTTTGTTCATGTCGCTGGCACTCCCATGCCCACCTCCACTGCTTCTCATCTCAGTCTCAGCTGGAGTTGAGGCACAATGCAGTGTGAGGTAGAATGTGTGCCTATCTAGCCCCTCCATCCCTCCCTTCATCTCTCTTTCTCTCCCCTGCTCTTTTATGCAACATCTTTCACATTTTCAATCAATCCCTCTATTTCTCCATATCTGTCCAACTGTGCCACTCTGCTCATATCCTTTTCATTATTGAATATTGTCTTTCTCCACCTCGTTTTCTTCCTCTTCTCTTCCTACTCTCACTATCTCCTTTCTCTCTCCTCTCATATTTGGTTATGAAAAGAAACAAACCTTCAAAGTGTATCTTTATATGCTTACCGCCTGTTGTGATGGAATGGCCCAATTAATCGGTTTCATTTAGTTGTGACTAATGGCCTCCTTATGGAGATGAAAGATGGAGAGGAGGTGGATATAAGTGTATTCAGTAGATAATATTATACTGTATCATCATGATGCCGCTCCTCCTCCTCCCAGTACAATGATGCCCTCATTTATTGGTCTAATAAATCACAGTCAACTAACTGTGTACATTCAGTAATAAAGTGATTCTTTTTTTTTACTGGCTTTTCCACAGCAGTAAATAGCCTGCCATTGTCTATGAATTACAGTGCATTCGGAAAGTATTCAGACACCTTGACCTTTTCCACATTTTGTTATGTTACAGCCTTATTCAAAAATTGATTACATTTTTTTCCCCTCATCAATCTATGTATTCAGACCCTTTGCTATGAGACTCGAAATTGAGCTCAGGTGCATCCTCTTTCCATTGATCATCCTTTAAATGTTTCTACAACTTGATTGGAGTCCACCTGTGGTAAGTTCAATTGATGGACATTATTTGGAAAGGCACACACCTGTCTATATAAGGTCCCACAGTTGACAGTGCATGTCAGAGCAAAAACCAAGCCATGAGGTCAAAAGAATTGTCCATAGAGCTCCGAGACAGGATTGTGTCGAGGCACAGATCTGGGGAAGGGTACCAAAACATTTCTGCAGCATTGAAGGTCCCCAAGAACACAGAGGCTTCCATCATTCTTAAATGCTTGAAGTTTGGAACCACCAAGACTCTTCCTAGAGCTGGCCGCCCGGCCAAACTGAGCAAACGGGGGAGAAGGGCCTTGGTCAGGGAGGTGACCAAGAACCCTATGGTCACTCTGAATGAGCTCCAGAGTTCCTCTGTGGAGATGGGAGAACCTTCCAGAAGGACAACCATCTCTGCAGCACTCCACCAATCAGGCATTTATGGTAGAGTGGCCAGATGGAAGCCACTCCTCAGTAAAAGGCACATGACAGCCCACATTCTCTGGTCTGATGAAACCAAGATTGAACTCTTTGGCCTGAGTGCCAAGCGTCACGTCTGGAGGAAACCTGGCACCATCCCTATGGTGAAGCATGGTGGTGGCAGCATCATGCTGTGGGGATGTTTTTCAGCGGCAGGGACTTGGAGACTAGTCAGGATTGAGGGAAAGATGAACGGAGCAAAGTACAGAGATTTTCCTTGATGAAAACCTGCTCCAGAGTGCTCAGGACCTCAGACTGGGGCGAAGGTTCACCTTCCAACAGGACAACAACCCTAAGCACACAGCCAAGACAACGCAGGAGTGGCTTCGAGACAAGTCTCTGAATGTCCTTGAGTGGCCCAGCCAGAGCCCGGACTTGAACCCGATCGAACATCTCTGGAGAGACCTGAAAATAGCGGTGCAGCGACGCTCCCCATCCAACCTGACAGAGCTTGAGAGGATCTGCAGAGACAAATGGGAGAAACTCCCCAAATACAGGTGTGCCAAGCTTGTAGCGTCATACCCAAGAAGACTCAAGGCTGTAATCGCTGCCAAAGGTGCTTCAGCAAAGTACTGAGTAAAGGGTCTGAATACTTATGTAAATGTAATATTTAAGTTTTTGCTTTGTCATTATGGGGTATTGTAGATTGATTAAGGCTGTAATGTAACAAAATGTGGAAAAAGTCAAGGGGTCTGAATACTTTCCGAATGCACTGTATGCCGGCAGCAGTACAGGTTTTGTTAGTAGAAATACAACAACATACAGTATCATAGGGAGTGAAGGGATGTCAAGATTTTTACGGGATGGGGGAAAACATCCTTGTCTGGTGCAATATTTCACACTATCAGTCTCTCAACTGGAAACTCACACACATACAGATGCATACACGCACACACACACCCACTCCAACTCTATCCATCTCTCCACATACACACACTTGAACGAGTGGGTGTGCTATCTATGCCTGTGTGTACTGTATGTCTGTCTAAATATGTGTATGTGTGTTGTCTGTGTTTGTGTATGTTCTAGATGCCTGTGTGTCATCCTTGCCTATATGTGTACATTTCCAGGGCCGTGGTGGGCTGGGCTCCATCTTTGTGTGGGCGTCGGGGAATGGTGGTCGTGAGAAGGACAGCTGTAACTGTGACGGCTACACCAACAGCATATACACCCTGTCCATCAGCAGCACCACACAGTATGGCATGGTACCCTGGTACAGCGAGGCCTGCTCCTCCACCCTCGCCACCACCTTCAGCTCTGGGAACCCCAACGAGAAACAGATAGTGAGTAATAATAATAATAATAATAATAATTTGGTGGGTGCTTAAATTTGTCCATTGGAAATGTGTTTTTTGCATATCCCAACTCCCCCTGAGACACCCCGATATATATATATATATATATATATACACACACACACACACACACACACACACACACACACACACAGACCTACCTTCACCTTCACCATGTTCTTCAGCTTTGGCAGCCCCAACAAGAAACAGATAGTGAGTACCACTGATACACATACACACTCCCACCTTCACACCTACACTCGCCAAATATTTTCCACTCCGGAAACCCCAATGAGAAACAGATCGTGAGGCATCATTAGCAATCCCTCGAGGTCCAGGATGATCTCTTTATCACACACAACAAAGCACAAAAGCACAACATAAAACAGTCTCATAATAATTAGGAATAATGATCCACCCACAGTAACGGCAACCTTAACCAGAAACCTTTAGCAAGTACCTCTGATACGCAAACACACATACACACACACACACACCTCTAGCATCGCTAAAACCCACATCAGAGGAAACCTCATAGAAACAGATTGACACTGTTACACAAACACACTCATACCTACAGCAGAGTAAACCTCCACATGAAACAGTGATTCATACCAAACTAATGGCCTAAACTCACCAAAGAGAGCGTGTGTGTGATTTATTTTAGAATGCATTGTTTTGAATTATAATGACCCAACCGAAGCAGGGCGGGCGGGTTGTCCACTTTGACGCCTCGCTCAATTAGAACGTCTCTATTTTTGCGTTTTATCGCTGCCGTTGTAGTCACACAAAACAATAGAAATCATGTTATCATCATTCACTTTCTTTCGAGCTCATTTGAATTGGAAGAGGTAGCTAAGGGTTGAGGCTTTATCATACATGCTAAATTAGACCAATTCATCCACTTATCAAATCAAATGTTATTGGTCACATACACATATTTAGCAGATGTTATTGCGGATGTAGCGAAATGCTTATGGAAACACAACATCACTATCAGCAAAGATGATTGGAGATATGGACTATCCTGCTAGCATACAATCACTGCTCTGCCTGTCCCGTCCTTTCCACCCGCCTCGCTCTGCTTTCTCCGCCCACCGGCTTCTGGTGAGTTTTTAGCTTAATTGTGACTAATATACTGACCAACAGTCCAAGAAACACCATACTTCCTCTAAGCTGTTTGTCAATATAGGGACCACAACTAACATAAACACTCCTGCAACTCAACGCTTTCTCCGCTTTCCTCCCAAACACACCAGAAGGCTGCTGCAGGTGAACAAACATACACCTCTCAGTCTGGCTGTGTCACTGTGTCACTCTGAGGTGATTAACTCTGCCTCTGACAAGTGGCACAACACTCTAGACTACACCTCTGCTCTGCCCCCCTTTTTCTCCTCTCTTCCAACCTTTTCATCCCTCCTAGGCCTACCTGGTCTCAAAGCATTTCATATTATTCTGTACGTAAATCCGGGAAACTCCATTTAGTATGATATGTTACGTTTCGTATGGTTACGTAAGACAGATGGTTACTTAAGCTTAAGGCAAAAATGAAAGTAGGGTGGTTGGGAGGGTGTATAAAGCAAACGTCTAGCAACCATGGTTGGTCGGGGTGGACAGGTGGGTGTATAAAGCGAACATCTAGCGAAACGTGATGTTCGAATCTCATCACGCATAACTTTAGCGTTACTACTTTTTAGCTACTTTGCAACAACTATTTTTTCTTCATATGTTTCAATTTTTTGTTTTTATTTTATGTTTTTGTTGTTTTTTACTAACCCATCCCCCCCTCTTCGGAGGACACATCTTTTTTGTTTTTTAGAGCTTTTCTGCTACATATACATACATTTAACACATACATTTTACATACACAGTATACATACATGGTACTTTTATATACAGCAATCACATAACAATAATACATTACTGAACATCAGCTCTTTAATCCCATCCCTCAGCCCCTCTCAGCCCATCCCACCTATCAACATAGTTTTGTTTCCATGTGCCATATATTTTTCAATTGTGCTGTGATGTTTTACATACATTTTGAACCTTTCTAATCGTATAGTATCCACAGATTGTGAGCTAAAGATGAAAACCTTTCCTACGAGTATTATTATATTATTTATTGACTGACTATGGCTTTCCAAATCCCCCAACACTACTATTTGTAAGGTTAATTTTAAGTGAATGTTGTGATTTTTTTTTAACCATTCCTGAACCTGTGACCAGAAACAAGCTACATAGGGGCAATACCAGAATAAATGATCTAGTGATTCTGTCTCTTCGCAGCAAAATCTACAGAGCTGAGATTGTTGTATGCCCCATATATATATAGCATTCTGTTGGTGGCAAGAATTTTGTATAATAATTTAAAGTGAAAAACTCAAGTGTTGAATCAAGTGTTGTTTTTTGTACCAGTTCATAAACCATGTGCCATGGAATCGGTACATCGAAAATCTCTTCCCATTTATTTTGCAACCTGTATGGCGCAGCTGTTAACATTTTTGTCCTAAAATTAAACTGGAATATTTTTATATTTATGCCAATTCTTTTCAGCCAATTTGTATCTTCATATATGGCAGACAAGTTCCCTACCTTCTCCCTCTTCCACTTGCCTCGTCCATTTTTGTGGTAATGCTGCAATCAGTTGGTTATAAGTTTGGATTGAGCAGACATTCCCATATATTTCCGATAGCTGCATACGTGACAAAACTATTTTTGAACTTTCTGTTCATAATTTTATTAATAAATCTAATAACATTTTCACACAAAAAATCCATAAAGAATGTTTTTTTATTAATCAGTATATTTGAGTTTAACCATAATATTTGTTGTAATATTTGTTCTATCTTTTCTGGAGGATAAAACTGAAATTGTAACCAGCTTTGTATGGCTTGTTTAAGAAAGGGCGATACTTTAAACAACATTTCATTTTCAATTAGTCGGAAATGAGAAGTTGTCATCTGTATAAAGGCAAAAAAGGCCAGTTTTGAACAAAGGATGAGCCTTTTTTAATAATCTACTGTAGAACCATTTTGGGTTTAAGTATAACTTATATATGAGTGAAGCTTTTAGTGAGAGGTTTAAAGCTTTAATATTTAATCATTTTAGCCCCCCAAACTCATATTCATTATATAAATGGGCACGTTTAATTTTGTCTGGCTTAGCATTCCAAATAAAATGAAATATTTTTTGCTTATGATTTTTTTTAAAGAGTTGTCTGGAGTAGGCAGCGCCATTAGTAAGTAAGTAAACTGTGATAGGACCAAAGAGTTAATCAATGTATTTACCTCTTCATGGTTGCAGAATCTTATCTATTTTTGCAAACTTTCTATTAAAATTGATTGTGGTAAGTTAATTTATATTTTTTTAAATATGAAGACCAAGTATGTCTACTTCATCATCCGCCCATTTTATTGGTAAACTACAAGGTAGTGTAAACACTGTCTTTTAACGATCCAATACGTAAAATGGTACACTTGTCATAAATAGGTTTTAGTCCAGAGAGGCTAGAAAAGTTATCAAATCTTCAATGAGACTGTGCAGGGATCCAGATTGTGGACTTAAGAGAACTTGAGTCATTGTCATACATTGACACTTTTGTTTTTACCACCTGGATTTCTAACCCCTTGATCTTGTTGGATCTAATTTTAATAGCTAGCATTTCAATGTTTTACTCCTCTTAAATGCTCAATACTTTCTGAGAAGTAACCATTATTTACTATTTTACACCTGGGGTTGCTGTACATAACTTTAACCAATTGTATAAGAGATTCACCAAAATGAAAGGAATCCAGGCATTTATAAATAAATTCTAGACTTACTTTATCAAACGCCTTTTCAAAATCTGCTATGAAGTCCAGGCCTGGTATCTTTGATGTTTCAACTACTTAGCATGTTAGCTAAACCCTTCCCCTAACCTTAATCCTTTTAGCTAACCCTTCACCTAACCCTAACCTTAACCCTTTTAGCTAACCTTAACCCTAACCCTTTGACCTAACTCGTAATTCAACTCCTAAAGCTATAATTCATAACATATCATATGTTTTGCAAATTCGTAACATATAATACGAATTGTAATATATCATACGAAATGGGTGATGGACATCCACAAATTAATACATACCATACGAAACGTAACACAGAATACTAAATGGAGTGTTTCAGATTTACGTACAGAATAATACGAAATGCTCTGAGACCAGATTGCCTAGGCCAGGGGTGTCAAACTCATTTTAGCTCAGGGGCCACATGGAGGAAAATCTATTCCCAAGTGGGCCGGACCGGAAAAATCATGGTATATATAACTTAAAAACAACAACTTCAGATTGTTTTCTTTGTTTTAATACGATCAACATACAACATAAAGCTGGAGCCTGAGGACAGTGTGTCCAAAATAGTACAAGCACAACATCACTATTAATCATAAAACACGTCAAGTTTATTTGAAAATTCTAAAGAAAAAGAACACACAAACACACAATGCCTCAGTGATTAACAGAACTGTTTCACAGATCACAGAACTATATCAGGGTGTCATTTCTCAGGCAGAAATGTAGATAAAAATAATGAAATCCTGTTCCCCAAACAAGTGCAAGAACCACAGAGTCAAGAATAGGTTAAATATACAAATAAAATAAAAACAATTAAAAACAATAGCACATCAACATAAAAACATATAAACATAAAGCTGGAGCCTGATGACAGTGTCCAAAAGCACAACATCACTATTAATCATAAAACACCTCAAGTTATTTGAAAGTTCTGAGGACAAAGAACACACAAACACACAATGCCTCAGTGATTAACAGAACTGTTTCACAGATCACAGAACTATATCAGGGTGTCATTTCTCAGGCAGAAATGTAGATAAAAATAATGAAATCCTGTTCCCCAAACAAGTGCAAGAACCACAGAGTCAAGAATAGGTTAAATATACAATAAATAAAATCAATTAAAAACAATAGCACATCAACATAAAAACATAAACATAAATCTGAAAGCGTTGCTCAAACTCCCGTAACAGTCCCGTTATTTTATCTTTGAACCGCTTCATGTCTGCCACATGTTGGGTCGCGCACACATTTTTCAGACAGGGGAAGTGAGCTGCATCACCACCGGCAAGTTGCGTCTCCCACAATGACAGCTTCAACTTGAAAGAACGTATGCTGTCATAATACTGCGTGACAACTTTGTTGCGCCCTTGCAGCTGTTTGTTCAAGTTATTCAGGTGCTCTGTAACATCCACCATAAATGCAAGGTCCTGCATCCATTCTGCGGAATGAAATTCTAACACTGGTTTGCCCTTTTCTTCCATGAACTGTTCAATTTCTTCTCGTAAATCAAAGAAACGCCTCAGCACAGCACCTCGGCTTAACCATCTTACCTCAGTGTGGTATGGCAGGCCATAGATGTGGTCTTTCTCTCTGAGAAGGCTGTCAAACTGACGGTGATTCAGGCTTCTGGATCGGATGAAATTAACAGTTTGGATGACCACCTTCATGACGTTATCCATCTTTAATGACTTGCAACACAAAGCCTCCTGGTGCAAAATACAGTGAAAAGTCAAAAAATCACGTCCTCCATTTGCAGATTGCACTTTCTCTCTGAACTTTGTCACAACGCCTGCTTTTTTCCCGATCATTGAGGGCGCACCATCTGTAGCCAGGCTGACAGCGCGGGACCAGTCCACTCCGACCCTGTCCAGCGCGCCGACGAGTGCGGTAAAAATATCAGCTGCTGTCGTTGTATCTGTCATCGGCACCAACTCCACGAACTCCTCGGTGACGGTCAATGTGTCATCAACTCCGCGGATGAAAATGGCCAGTTGTGCAACATCTGTAATGTCCGTGCTTTCATCAATTGCAACCGAAAACGCAATAAATGACTTTACTTTTTGCTTCAACTGGCTGTCCAAATCCACTGAAAGATCGGAAATCCTGTCTGCAACTGTGTTTCTTGTCAGGCTGATATTTGCAAAAGCCTGCCGCTTTTCAGGGCACACAATCTCCGCTGCCTTCATCATGCATGTTTTTACAAATTCACCCTCACTAAATGGTTTTGAAGCCACTGCGATTTCATTAGCAATGAGGTAGCTAGCTTTCACTGCAGCGTCACTGATGTCTCGGCTGTGAGTAAACACAGACTGCTGTTTCTTCAGACCCGCCAACAGTTCATTCACCTTCTCTCATCTCCGCTGTCCTTGAAAGTTGTCATATTTGTCGGCATGAAGACTCACATAGTGGCGACGAAGGTTATATTCTTTCAGCACTGCAAAATGCTCTGAACACACCAAACATACAGCTTTCCCATTCAATTCCGTGAATAAATAGGATGACCATTTTTCTTGGAACACTCTGTACTCTGCGTCCACTTTTCTCTTTTTTGACAGAGACATATTGGGGCAATGAGGGTGCCAAAGCACAAAATGTTAAAAGTAGAAGCCGTAATAAATATCGCGGGCAAAACAAAGTAGCTCATTGGCTGCACGTGCTTGACCTACTTGCTCTGCCCCGGTATAAACAGTTTGCTTGCTTAACACAATTGATATTGCGCCATCCAGTGGACGCAATTGGAACAGCCGTTTATTTTATTGAAAAATTGCAGCGCATTTTTATACTTTACAAAATAAAAAAAAAATAAAAATTATTTACTTGAGATCCACATACTCAAACTTCTTTTGCATAGATAAATAATGCATTTACATGAGTTGTTCCACTTGCATGCAAATCAGCTAGTTTCTGTAGGATCTCTAATGACTGATGTTGTTTCCTCTCATCTCTCTCTCTTCTCCTAGGTGACTACAGACCTGAGACAGAAGTGTACAGACTCCCACACGGGGACGTCAGCCTCAGCCCCACTCGCTGCTGGGATCATCGCTCTGGCTTTGGAGGCCAAGTGAGTTATCTCTGTTACACTCTAATATCTCTGTTAACCTGCCAACTCTCACACTAGAATATCTATGTTAAACTGTCATCTCTCTCTCTACAACATCTCTGTTCAACTCATCTCTCAATAGAATATAGTCTCTCAATAGTATAAGACAACAGACCTGAAAAGAGTAGTGTGTGGTGGAAGGTGAGACTGGCATGGCCAGCCAGTGATCAGCTCTGTAGACTAAACTCTTTTTTTTAAAGTGCTAAGTACAACCATATAGGGTTCTTCAGTTTGTCCCCATAGGGAACCCTTTTTGGTGCTATTTAGAATCCTTTGCAGAGGGTAGAATCTAGAGCCCAACCGATATGGGATTACTGAGTCCGATTCCGATACCGATTTGAGGTAGGCAAAAGTCACAGATTACCAATATATCTGCCTATATATGTTATTTTTTTGAGGTGGAATGAAAAACTGATCTTTTTTCACAAATTGTGTGCCAAAGGATTAACAGATACTCTACTCTAAATGACGAATTTTTTAATAAATATGAAAATTATTTAAGAACATTTTATTTGTGGTTTACATGATAACCACCAAAAAGCATCTATATCCTCTATAAATACAAACGTAAATACAAAACACTTGTCCAGTTTACATTTTAGTCATTTAGCAGACGCTCTTATCCAGAGCGACTTACAGTTAGTGAGTGCATACATTTCTTTCATACTGGCCCCCTGTGGGAATCGAACCCACAACCCTGGCGTTGCAAGCGCCATGCTCTACCAACTGAGCTACACGGGGCCAACCTTATTAGGTTTGTAAAGATGTATCTATCTATGGCAGTGGATAAGAATGCAGTAGTGTTTGTGCTGAAGCACCACAAGCACACTAATAAACAAGAGGGGCTGAATTAATTAAACTTTGTCTCAAAGTAAATGTGACTGACCGGCTCGATTCGGTCTTATGTAGCAAAATTTGAAATTGTGATTCAGAGCTAGAAAATGGTATATCATACACTACAGTTGCGGAACAATGGGAAAGTAATTCTGCTTTGAAAGTTGATAAACTTGGATCCTCACTTTTGAGAAAATGGCCTTTGAATGTTTTGGTACCTACTGGAGAGCTCTTCTTTGTCTACACCCATTCAGCATCGTTCCACCCTCTTAAGCTTTAGCCCCACCCATCTCTTTAAGGTTTGATCCCAGCGTTCTGTCCTAACAACAGCAGTCAAGCAACCAAGCTAACTGGCTAATGTTGGCTAGCTTACTAGCTACTTCAAGACACAAATGAGAGAACAGCTCACTGACCATTTTACTCTCCCTAGCAGAGCTGGTTAGGCTGTTTTTATGTTATCCAGAGCGTTGGTGACTGCAACTGTGCTGCTGGCAGCAATTTACGCTTTTTTTGGCAACGTTTACTGACACCGGCCATATTCAACAGGTGTTGAGCATTCGTAAATCCGTCAGTTATTCTGCGCTCTGGCACACTCAGACGAGAGAGCTCTGAAATAAGACATGTAGCTAGCTAGCTAACTGAACAATGAACCATAATCACAACTCAAGACGTTACTATCCTGCATGAATCTGCAGGTAGCTAACCAACCAGGTTCAATGTTAGCTAGCTAACATTAGGCTATAACTAGCAAAGAAAATGGCTATGAGATACGAATAATGTTACTACACAGATCATATACGTAATGTTAGCTAGCTCGCCAGCCAGCTAACGTTAGCTAACTAGCTAACAGTACACTTTAACTTGAAATGAAAACGACTTTCTGTCAAAATTAGAAACGTGTAATATCTGAAAATGTAGCTAGCTAGACTATCTTACCCGTATCCATGGAATGGACGCTTCTCCCTGTCACGGATGCCATGGTTGCCCTTACTTAGTTTGAAGATGTAATCCGGAGACAGGTGTTTTCTCCAGCTCCTTAGCTATCATACTCGAATTCCACTGATTTCAAAACACGGTCCTCCAGAAAGTGGAGAGCAACACTTATGCAGTTCTACTAAGCAATATATATATTTTTAATGCCCTGTTAGACAGGATTACCTTCACATACTGACCAGCTCAAATAGACAGAAGCAGGCTACATGGCAGACCAATTCGAACTAATCTCTCGGCATGTCCAGCCCACTCATTATCTCAGCCAATCATGGCTAGCGGGAAGGTTGCTATCTTTTTCTTTGGCTAAACCAACTAGGCTCGTAATTGAACAATTGTATTCATATTTACAGATGGCATACAAGTTTGTTATTAAGGCACATGAAAGGTCACATGTTCCAGAAGGCATTTCTGCCAAAAAACGCATTTTGATTTTTTAAAAAAGTTTACGTTCAAATGGCTCTCCTGTGAAGTTGTGACGCACGACTTACGCCTAGTTTCCTGAAACGAGTCACAAATCTGAAACTACACTGTTCACAAGTTCACAAACTTTGCAGTGAAATGCAGTAACATGCAGTTCGTAATGTCACCACTTGATGTCAATATTTGTATTGAGTATGTTCACTACAGTGCTTTACAACAGTCAAAGGTCATGTAAGGAAACACTTTATGGCAACCTTGCAATCAGAGGGGTCATCACTAGTTACCACAGCCACAAAGTCAGAAGGCCCATCGACTTCAACAATCAGATGAGGGAGTGTGATGACACGTATGCTGGCTTGCGGTTCGTAGAAAACGACCAATCAGATGAGGGAGTGTGATGATGTGTATGCGGGAGACGAGAGACATGCATTTATTTTATGTAGTGATCATCAATGATTTGGTTATTTATTAGCTATAATAAAACGAACCATTCTAAATGCAAAGTGGTAATCGGATGTCTTATTCAAACTCAGCTTGCAAGCTTATCATGATGTTTGCCCTTACTCATAGTTACTTGTCTTAACCAAAAATAGGTTTACTCCAATAGCTGCATTGTTTTTTAAATGGCATGTAGACAAACAAATTGACACATCTTGAATTTATATTTATATTTTCAAAATCCACAATTTAAACATACAGCGTTTCACAGAAATTTCCATTTTTGAAATTGGCAGATTTTGGGCTAAGTTAAGATAACTTAAACCCTGTTACATTATTTGGCACTTAGGCACTTACTATAGTTGTTTATTTATTTAACTTAACATAGCCTTGCAGTCCACCAGTTTCCATCTCTGTACAAAGGCATGGTCTTCAAGCTATGGCAAAACATTGAATAATAATAATAATAATAGTAATTGATTGGCACTTTTCTAGACACTCAAAGCTCTTTAGAATGTAAGGGGGAACTCACCACCCTAACCCCACTTACATACTCAAAAAGAAAAAATATATATACAGTGGGGGAAAAAAGTATTTAGTCAGCCACCAATTGTGCAAGTTCTCCCACTTAAAAAGATGAGAGAGGCCTGTAATTTTCATCATAGGTACACGTCAACTATGACAGACAAAATGAGAATTTTTTTCTCCAGAAAATCACATTGTAGGATTTTTTTAATGAATTTATTTGCAAATTATGGTGGAAAATAAGTATTTGGTCAATAACAAAAGTTTCTCAATACTTTGTTATATACCCTTTGTTGGCAATGACACAGGTCAAACGTTTTCTGTAAGTCTTCACAAGGTTTTCACACACTGTTGCTGCTATTTTGGCCCATTCCTCCATGCAGATCTCCTCTAGAGCAGTGATGTTTTGGGGCTGTCGCTGGGCAACACAGACTTTCAACTCCCTCCAAAGATTTTCTATGGGGTTGAGATCTGGAGACTGGCTAGGCCACTCCAGGACCTTGAAATGCTTCTTACGAAGCCACTCCTTCGTTGCCCGGGCGGTGTGTTTGGGATCATTGTCATGCTGAAAGACCCAGCCATGTTTCATCTTCAATGCCCTTGCTGATGGAAGGAGGTTTTCACTCAAAATCTCACGATACATGGCCCTATTCATTCTTTCCTTTACACGGATCAGTCGTCCTGGTCCCTTTGCAGAAAAACAGCCCCAAAGCATGATGTTTCCACCCCCATGCTTCACAGTAGGTATGGTGTTCTTTGGATGCAACTCAGCATTCTTTGTCCTCCAAACACGACGAGTTGAGTTTTTACCAAAAAGTTATATTTTGGTTTCATCTGACCATATGACATTCTCCCAATCCTCTTCTGGATCATCCAAATGCACTCTAGCAAACTTCAGACGGGCCTGGACATGTACTGGCTTAAGCAGGGGGACACGTCTGGCACTGCAGGATTTGAGTCCCTGGCGGCGTAGTGTGTTACTGATGGTAGGCTTTGTTACTTTGGTCCCAGCTCTCTGCAGGTCATTCACTAGGTCCCCCCGTGTGGTTCTGGGATTTTTCTTGTGATCATTTTGACCCCACGGGGTGAGATCTTGCGTGGAGCCCCAGATCGAGGGAGATTATCAATGGTCTTGTATGTCTTCCATTTCCTAATAATTGCTCCCACAGTTGATTTCTTCAAACCAAGCTGCTTACCTATTGCAGATTCAGTCTTCCCAGCCTGGTGCAGGTCTACAATTTTGTTTCTGGTGTCCTTTGACAGCTCTTTGGTCTTGGCCATAGTGGAGTTTGGAGTGTGACTGTTTGAGGTTGTGGACAGGTGTCTTTTATACTGATAACAAGTTCAAACAGGTGCCATTAATACAGGTAACGAGTGGAGGACAGAGGAGCCTCTTAATTAAGAAGTTACAGGTCTGTGAGAGCCAGAAATCTTGCTTGTTTGTAGGTGACCAAATACTTATTTTCCACCATAATTTGCAAATAAATTCATAAAAAATCCTACAATGTGATTTTCTGGATTTTTTTTCCTCAATTTGTCTGTCATAGTTGACGTGTACCTATGATGAAAATTACAGGCCTCTCTCATCTTTTTAAGTGGGAGAACTTGCACAATTGGTGGCTGACTAAATACTTTTTGGCCCATCCACTCCCCTCTATGGAGGACAAAAGTAACAGTTTTACATTTTAGTTTTCTACAAATATTTTGTACACATTAATCATACAGTTTAAAAATCCATTTAAATTACAGGTTGTA